AGATTGGATTTCCGGTGTTACGCAGGGCCCCTACTCTTCCGGAGAATGAAATATAGCTGTTATATGAGCAAAGGAACTCACGTGCAAATGCCAAACGATGATCGATCGAAATCATTCGTTCAAAGCTTAACGAATATATTGTTTTATTAATTGCCTCAGAGATACTTAACCCCATCTCTGACATAATTTTTAAGCCAACTCTATCTTTACACAATCCAACGAATCTGATTAGGTAAGTGGAAGAGCAATGAGAAGACTATTCTAGCAATAATGGTAATTGACAGTAGTGATGGCTGTATTCTGTAGGTTTGTGATGATTAACCAATTCAGGCAGTTTACAAAAGTGGCTTGAACCCCACCGCGAGAATTTGGTGAAAGACAGCGCTTGCACCAATCGGTTCAACACGCTTATCCTAGAGGCTTTAGGGGATTTGCCGCTTTAAGCCTCGGGCTTGGTATGGCCCATTCCGTAAAGAACAGTAAGTTCCAATGATTATACAGTACATTTCACCATCCGTTGAGCACACCACTGAGTGCAATAAGGAGACATGCCTGCGAACACAACTTGCGAACATTCTCATCATACTGAATATAAAATCTGATTGGCGAAGCACGCTGTTTTTCGAGAATTCATCAACTGGTCATTTACAATTGGAACTCTATTTAATGAGATTGGTAGTAGTCAGACGCAAATCATAAGCGACAAAACAATGGTGGCAAAAACGTAAACACTAGGATTTTTGATGCAATCCACAAAATTCGCAAGGCTTCTGATGCGATCAACCGAATTCTATGATCCTGCGGTCAAAACTCACGAGTGAAAAACGTCTTTGCATCCGGGCTGAGAAGTGCATTTCGAGTTAGATACTGTTTCATTCGAAGGCGCCTCTTACGGCTACTCATATAAAACTTTGCATATGACATGAATAAAACCGTAGCAGTGGGCCAGTGTGGTTCAATGGCGAACTCAATTGGTGATAACGACATGTGAATCCGGTCTGTGCGAACTGCTGACTGAGCTAAGTTATGCCTACTAATGAAGAAAAATGAGCAAGAGTAAACCACTGAGTACAGTAAGGTAAGATGCACAGAGTGAATAAAATAGATGTGTGTAGACGGGGAAATGTGCAGGCAGTATTGGTTTGCACCACTCAGCCAGATCAGTATCTCCAACGATCGGTTAGGCTGATCACAAAGTACTTATTCGGAGAGTGTAATACGATCCACTTGGCCAAATTCTGTGGTCAATATTTCCATACCTCTAGACCAGATCATCTTTTGACCACCAGTGGTATTTTACCAACTTCTGTTCATCTCGGTATGCATCGCACGCCAAAGAAGCCCATCCGATGACTTGGGTAAGTGTGTTACCTAGGGGCATCGACTTTCGACGTTGTCAACTAGAATCAGTGATTCACTTCACAAATGGCACCAGACAAGTAGATCGATTGGATGGATTGATCACCCATACTGGTGACACGCTGTCCAAAATAGAGGATGAAGTGAGGAAAAAGTCAAAGGTAAACAGTCACTGAGACGAAGACAGCAAAATAGTTCACCTGCGAGAAGAACGGTGCAATCACCGGGCCCACGTTGTCCTCTTCCCGTTCTAAAGAAATATTGACCGTCAACGTTTCACCACTGAATGACAGAAAGAAAACAGGTGATCAATTTATAATAACAACAATAAGAAGAACAATACGGATATTTTGCAATATTTTCTTCTTCTTCTTATGAACTCATGTACATGAGGCGTGGACTGAAAAGCTAGGAAGCACTAGATAGCCGTCTCGACCTGGTTGGCAGTGAGAATCCATTGACCCAACTGGGGATCGGTGAATTCAGCATATGATCAAATCGAATCCTCCATTCCTCTTTTACGAGATGTTCAGATACAATGAATGCACAATTTATTTTCAAAGAAGAGACCACATAGTCCGAAATTGAATTCGAACAAGCGAAACTGTGACAAAACCGGATGTTGTACGGCCCTGCGTTGGTGACCCGATCAAGAGATACATGGTGAACGAACAGACAGACAACCGAGACTCACTAGTGGTATAAAAGAGAATAAATGATTAGAACACTACAGAATAACGGGAAATGACAATGAATGCAAATCACGTTGTCTAATTTCTTTTATGCCAGAACGTGTTCCTGATAAAAAAGATTGATGTACGTTTTACTTTTTTATGCTTATTTAGTATACGGCTGTACAGTCAACTTTAGGGAGGGTGGCTGAGGCCAATACAAAGGCTGTCTGGAAAAAAATACGGAAGTGGGGAAGAAGGGTGGCGAGGTTCAAACTCCGCACCTCAAGGTCGCTTTTTTGATGACCGTAGACATTTGACTATAGCACTACGGCTGGCCCCTTGGGGAGGATAAGCTAATTTCAGGCTCACGAAAAATAGAAACGCATTTTCCAGGTTGAATGAGAAACCTACAACATCCGCGAACATCTAGATACACAGAATCCGATTTGATTGTGTCCGTTTTCCGTCTGAATGAGGGAAGACAAAATCAATAAAACCGGTATTCTTCGATTATCCTATCCCGCTCCGTATATAAGAAGTCCATAGATCAGGGATTGATACTTTCTACTAATGCATGAAAAACAGCACAAACTCCATATGAATAATGCGAAAGATAGAATGTGCAGTGAAGTTCATGCATCGGGAGGAGACAAATAATATTTTTATCCCATGTATTCAATTAAAACACTTCGTGTGCCGGCGGTGTACAAAGATCTCAAGCTTAGGACCATTTACTCACCCACGGACTGACGTCTTGGCTACATTAGTCCCATTCGAACTAACCACATCATATGTAATTTCTATGTTGGGATAACGATTACAGAATCGGGCCACGTCAGCCATCTGTGTTGGAGTTAAATCTTCCAATAGTTTAGATCGTGCATCGTCTTCCATCTCAATCAGGTCGAATACAGTCTCAATTTTAGCCTCGCGACACTTGGCGATTCGTTCCGCGGTGAAATGGGGCAACTGGCGCAGGTAAGAATCTTTGTGCCAAACAGCCTGGGTAACCATTTGAGACAATTCCATAGCAGCGAGGGCTGGGCCAAGCCAACTGTTACTGGACAGAACGTCCACACAGGCCTGTTACAATAATGCAATGGGAAAGAGTGGTTTTAAAATCAAGAGAGACTAGTCAGTTGGACTTGTATCAAGCGAAACAACTGTAAAAGGGAGAGAGAAACAACGAACATCGGCAGAATAATCAAGCAAACGATGCTGAGGATCGATAAAAAAGTCCATCAATGATATGATACTGTAACCGTATCTGAGCAGATAATGAATCTCGGTCAAGGACGTTACGGCTCATGTTTAATCATGCCTTAGTTATTAGGTTTTCAAATAAAGACGAAACTATTAGATATCTTCTGTTGACATCAGACATTCTAGTTCAACTTTCACGAGTGAACTGACTGACCTAGAGCATGCGGACGTCATCTGGTTCAGTAAAATAACACATGCAGTGAAAACCCTACTGAACCGATTGGGGACTAAGAAGCATCCAAATACAAAACACCTTTTCAGGAAAGATAGAAGGCGTCTTGCGCGACCAGCATCGCTTATGACCAAGATTTGTCCGTTTTCTGCTTTATGGAGTACGCCAGTAGCTGAGTTAACATTGGATAACAGATGAAATTCACAATCAATGATGCTTTACTTTGTCATTGAATAAACTGCCGAAATCAATAGTCCAGGAAGGGGAAAGCAACCAACATCGCCTGACCGCCTCTAACGCTATGCATCAATGGCGCATTTACACCAGTTTCTCTCTGAAAGAACACGTGTACAGTG